GAGCTTTCCACTACTGTTTCAGATTGCTAGTGATCACAACTCTACAATAAGTCAATACAGATCAGGAAACTCATGGGTCCCACTTTTCAGAAGGAATATGCATGACTGGGAGTTAGGTAGTTTATTTACATTGCTTGGTAGACTAGGAACCTTCACTATGAATGAGCAGATCCCTGACAGAATCAGATGGGTTGGTTGTGACTTAAGTCCATATTCAGTGAAGATGGGCTACAGACGCATATGTGAGCATAATGGAAACATTGACTCGTGGCCATGGAAGCTCATCCGGAAGACAAAGCTTCTAACAAAGGTTATCTGCTTTACTTGGACTGCACTCAAAGAAGCCTGCCTAACTCAAGACAATCTTTGCAAAAGGAGTTTTCAGTTGGTAAATAGATGATACATATGTCAGCAAAGTTCTGAGTCAATCAACCATATATTCTTACATTGTCCAGTGGCAACAGATATGTGGTGTATGTTTCTTTCTATCCTGGCAATAAACTGGACACAACAACAAGGCATCAGGGAAGCAATGGAAGGTTAGAGCAGCTAGAAAGTTGAAAGGGCCATCAAGAAAGTCTGGAAGATGATCCCAACATGCATTTTTTGGTGCATTTAGCAAGAAAGGAATCGCAGATGCTTTGATATCATTTCAACTTCTATACACGCTATCAAAGCCAATTGCCTTGTGCAACTATTTAGTTGGAGTTCTCTAACACCTATAAATAATGTAATTCCTCTTCTAGATTTCATTGGATCTCTGAGTCTAGCTTAACTCAGTTATATCCTTACTTTTGTTTTTGAGTTAGCTCCCTAAGCAGATTAAGTCTTTGTAATGGAGCTAACTCAATTCCTTCTTGTAACTTTGCATCTTCTGGATGCCTGCAATGAAGAATCTTATTTCATCAAAAAAATATGAAATACGATGTCCTTGTATCAAATGTTGTAATACAACTTTAGGAACTCGTAAGACAGTTGAGACACATTTGAAAGTATATGGAATAATTAAAAACTATACTTTTTGGTATCATCACAGGAAAAATTTAGGTGAGCCACTGTCAGAATCTGAAGATAAAGATGGTGATGAAGTAGAAGAATGTGAAAGTGAAGATGAAGTACAAGAACTGTTGAGAGATCTATATCCTAATCTTGATGGAAGAACTGTGCACACTGATTGTGATGATTTACCTGAGGAGGAATCAAATATTGAAGCAAAAAGATTTTACAGGCTATTGAAGGATTTCAAGCAGCTACTGTATCAAAATTCAAAAGCTTCAAAGCTTTCCTCTTTGATTATATTGCTTCACATCAAAAGTATGGACTGTTGGAGTAATGAGTCATTTACAATGTTATTAAAAATGTTAAAAGAGGAGTTGTTACTTGATGGCGCCAATTTGCCAAAATCATATTATGAGGCAAAGAAGATAATTCAAGACCTTGGGCTTTCTTACAACAAGATTGATGCTTGTACTAATGATTGCATGTTATACTGGAAGGAGGATAGCTTACTTGATTCTTGCAAGGAATAGATAGACATAGTGGGGAAACAAGGAATAAAAAAGGTAAGAAGATAGCATCAAAAACTTTAGGCTATTTTCCATTAAAGCCGAGGCTTCAGAGGTTGTTTATGTCTACAAAGACATCTTCTTTAATGACATGGCATAAGGATAAAAGAGTTGATGATGGAATAATGAGGCACCCAGCTGATTCAATGGCGTGAAAGTCATTTAATGAACTTCATCCTTCATTTGCGGCCGAGCCTCGTAATGTCCGACTTGGACTTGCTAGTGATGGATTTCAGCCATTTCGAAATTCAAAAACTTCATATAGTATTTGGCTTGTTGTTCTTATTCCTTATAATTTACCATATTGGTTGTGTATGAAATAAGAAAATTTTATTTTGTCAATGCTTATTCCTGGTTCTGATAGTCTAGGAGATGCAATTGATACATATATTCAACCTTTAATAGAGAAATTGAAGGAGTTGTGGGAAGTTAGCATTGAGACCTTCGATGCATCGGCTAGACAAAATTTTAAGTTGCATGCTTCTTTGTTATGGACCATCAATGACTTTCCAGCCTATAAAAATTTATCTGGATGGAGTACAAAAGGAAAATTGGCATGCCCATGTTGCAATAAAGACACTTCCTCAATTCGATTGGCCAATAATAAGAAGCAATGTTTTATGGGTCATTGACGCTACCTTCCTCTTAGCCATAAATGGAGGAATGACAAGGATTCATTTGATGGTACAAAAGAGAAAAGGCTCCCACCAAAAATGTGTTCTGGTATTGAGATACTTAATCAAGTGCAAGATCTTGAAGGGATACAGTTAACAAAGGATCCAAAGAAAAGGAAGAAGATATCACATGAAAACCGAAAGGATAATTGGAACAAGAAAAGTATTTTTTTTGAACTTCCATATTGGAAGTCTCTCTTGTTACGACATAATTTGGATGTTATGCATATTGAAAAACATATATGTGATAATATTATAGGAACAATCATGAATGTCAAAGGAAAGACCAAGGATACAATTAAAACTCGGTTAGACTTGCAAGACATGAATATTAGGCCGGAATTGCACCCAATCCAAAGAGGGGAGAAAGTTGAAGTTCCAACTGCATGCTACACATTGTCTCCCGAAGCTAAGCACAAATTATGCCAATTCTTAAAGAATTTAAAGGTTCCTGATGGGTTTTCATATAATATTTCTCAATGTGTGAATCTGAAAAATCACAAGATATCTGGGTTGAAAAGTCATGATTGCCATGTCCTTCTGCAACATATACTCCCTCTTGCACTTCGTGGTATGTTGTCCAAAGAAGTGTGTGAACCGCTTATTGAGTTATCTTTATTTTTTAATGTGCTTGGATCAAAGGAGTTAAGGATTGATGACTTGGAACAAATTGAAGCGCAAATTCCCATAACACTTTGCAAGTTAGAAAAGGTCTTCCCTCCTTCATTTTTTGATGTCATGGTGCACTTGCCTATTCATTTAGCTAGTGAAGCTAAGATTGCTGGACCTATTCATTATCGGTGGATGTATCATGTAAATTGATGGTTATATTTTTTGAAATCTCTGATTGATAATAGGGCATGTCCAGAGGGTTCTATTGAACAAGGCTACATTGCAAATGAATGTATGACCTTATGTTCAAGGTATCTGCATACTATTGACACAAAATTTAATCGACCTGAATGAAATTATGATGGAGGTTTAAAAAAATTTAATGGAGGTTTATCTATGTTTTACCAACCTGGAAGAACACTGGGAGCTAAAGATCCATGTGAGCTTGAAGCAAATGAATTAGAACTAGCATATATATACATAATGAAGAATTGCGATGAAGTCATACCATATCTCGAGTATGGAGTGTTCTTTCATACCGTATCATTTTCCTTATTTCCTTTAGGGTAATTTTTTTTTATATGACATTTATGGTTCACTTCAAATTTGTAGAGAGTTTGCACAAACTCATGTGGATACTGCACAACACTTATCTGATGCAGAATGGAACCGACAGTTTATTGAATAGTTTAAAGTTAGGGTGAGTAATATATAAACATCAAATTTGACATTTAATGTTGTATTACTCATTCTAAAGTATTCAATTTAATCTTATTGATAGGTTTCACAATTGCATAAAGGAGATGATAGTCGGATCATGGAAGATCTAATCTCACTTTCACATGGTCCTACCCAATATACGATAAATTTTAATGGTTACATTGTCAATGGATATAGATTTCACGTAGAAGATTATGATAAAAAGTTAATGACTCAAAATTGTGGCGTTGTTGTAGTTGGTGAGAATGATCAAGATAGTGAGAACATTGATTATTATGAAATTTTAACAGATGTAATTGAATTGCAATTTCTCATGGGTAGAAGAGTGATTTTATTTCGATGTAATTGGTTTGATGTGTATGATAAAATAAAAGGAGTTAAAAAAGATGAGTATGACTTTGTGAGTATTAATCCAGGGAGATTTCTGAAAACAAATGAGCCTTTTGTTTTAGCGGAGCAAGCATCTCAAGTGTTTTATACTATTGATAATTCCAACAAAGGTTGGCATGTAGTGAGGAAGACTCAACCTCGTGATTCCTATGAGATTGTAAAACAAATGGATGATGATATTGTAGACATAGGAAATCCTTCACAAAAGAAACGAAAAAGAACTGATGAGGTGAAGTATCTCTTTATGAATTAGTATATTCATTGTTACATATTCTGATGGCATGATTTCCTTTATTATTATATTGTCACGCATTTTGTCTTACTATTTTTTACTTTTGGCTCTTTGCAGGTTAAATATGAAACCATCAAGGGCTGAAAATGAGGTGGAATCAACTATAAAGACTACTACCAGATATGCATTCCTCGCGCCAGGTGCTATAAGAAAGGGACAAGGACGAGGACGAGGGCTTAGATCTTTGGTTGAGAAAGAGAATATGCCAATTAAGCCATCGTCCTCGTCCTTGTCCCTTTCTTATAGCACCTGGCGCGAGGAATGCATATCTGGTAGTAGTCTTTATAGTTGATTCCATCTTAGATCTTTGGTTGATAAAGAGAATATGCCAATTAAGAGTTTATTTCCTCAATCTAGTGATCTTGTTAAGCAATACATCCAAACAATTGAAACAGTTAAGATATTTTAAATCTACTGTTTTTAATTTGCACGACTGAATTTAAATGTTTAAATATTAGTAATATGATTTCTTTTCGCCAGGTGCTATTGGGAATGGAGGAGGACAAGGGCTTAAAAGCTCTACCATGTCTGCTAGTCAAGGAACAGGAATGATAGATAAAAATTTCATCGTTCTTGAGAAAGAGCATATGCAAATTGATATTCCATTGCCTCCATCTACTCACCAAGTTAAGCAATACACCCAAAAAGTTGAAGCAAGTAAGTTTTTCCAAATCCATTGTATTTTTAATTGCATATATAACTGAAATTAAATGCCAAACTAAAATGATTTCTTGGGTCCAGGTTCTATAGGGATGGGACAGGAGCCAACGCCTAGATCTTTGTGCTCCTCTTTAGGGATTTCTAAAAATGATGTGGGAATTTATCCTAATCAACGTACGCAAACTTCTTCTAAAAGTACAAGATCAAATTTTACTATGTCTTCTGATCAAGAAATGCGAACAATGGATAAAAACTCCTTGGTTCTTGAGAAAGAGCATATGCAAACCAATACTTCATTGCCTCCATCTACTGATCAAGTTATGCAACACTCCCAAACAGTTGAAACAGGTATGATATTTTGAATCCATATTATTAACTTGTAGAACTGAATTGTATTGCTATAGTTTTTACCAAATTATGCAGCTGTAGGTTCTTCATCTAATCCTGCAAAGGTAAAAAGAGTTCGAGGGAGGAACAAGTGTAAAGAAGTTGCATCACTTGAAGTCGGACAAAAGCTGAAAGTAAACTTTTACAATAATCGAACGGTTGGAACAAATAGCAAACTGTTTTCGAGGCACTTGGGAAGAATCGTTCGTGACCGTAATATGTGTCCTTTGAGAGTATCATCGTGAAATGATATTGCGGAAGAAAAGTTGAATCACATGTGAGAAGCTATTGGGGTAACAACTGTAGCCAAGAGTATGACTGTGCAATTTGAGTCATTTTAAGTCTAAGCAGCTAGATAACATTTTTGACATGGCTGATAAATCTGGAATTTATCTACATGACTGAGGAAATGATATTTATACAGTAAAGATGCATATTATTAGTTGAATACTTGTGTTCCTGTTTGTGCCTCTATGTAGGAATCAAATACCATAATGCTTACAGTTATTGGCTATTGATAAACCAGCAACTATAGGTTAACGTCTAAGCAATTCTGAAAGCAGTAGACTGGAAAGTGAATCTCACACTATCATAGAACAATTTCTGGTTTGCTGCCTATTTTTTAAATGTGCACTTGGTCAGTTCTTGTCTTTGAGGGCATATAAGATGCCTTGGGCATGAGGATACAAATATGGCATTTGCTGTTTAAATATTCTTCAATTCAAAATTCATTGCTTCTTAGGGTAACTTTTGTTGGCACTTGATATTTAACTTTTAAGTTGTAACTCTGCTATGTGACAATTATTGTCCAAGTAGAACATTTGCAGACGTTCATATTTTGTAGATCTAATAAAGAACTAACTTTTAATATGAACATTACCTTGACAAGAGTTGAAGTTTTGGCAGAATGATAATTATAAATTGATGCAAAAGTATATGTTTCTCTGGTTTAGTTGGTCCAAACTTAGCCTAAGTTAAAATACTAATACATAACTGATTTAACCTTCTACAACTCAAGGTAGGTAACTATAAGACAAGTATGGTGGTATAGTTGGGATCCGTTCCCTTAAATCAAAGGTGTCGGACTCGAGCTTTAGTAATTGAGAACAGTATATCCGTGCATAAGTACAACACGGATCAGTGTCAGTTGATCAAGAAATTTGGTTAAACAAAAAAATATGTTAATCTCTATAAGGAAAGTTCTATAGTGATGTATGATCTCTTGAAAACTTCAAAACCATTTTTTTCCCTTTCAAATGGAAGATTCTCTTGACCAGAGCTTCAAGTATTGGGTATTGGATAAAATAACAACCATGGGGAAATCTCAGTTAAAGACCTCTGACTCTTTAATCTCGGTAACTTTTAAAAAGTGTATGCACTCAACTCTACTGACAAATGAGTTATTCCCAGTTTTATGTTGCCAGCTACCACAAGCATAGGGTAGCAGTATTAGCTGTTGTATCTAAACTTATGTGCTCAATTACTTAACGTGCTCTGTATAATCATAGGAGATTGTTAACTGATTCAACAGACTTCATAAAAAGTTCCGCTGCTGGAGAGTTGCTAGATAGAATTTCAAATTAAATACAACTATTAGCACATATTCAAAATGCACAGTTAGGATCAAAATGCAACAGATTTACTAAAACTGAACTAATATAAACTCAACCCATATTCCGATTATTGTAGGATAAATTTGAGAGTGTTGACATGAATGATCATCGTGATCATATCTTCGGATGGATGAAAGAGTTATGGAACAAATGGAGAGGACACTTGTATACAAAACATGTGAAGGATAAGCCAATCCAACAGGCTCTTAAGAATATTCCAAAGGGAGTAGACAATGGGAGTGGTTAATAAAGGAATTTCCCTCCCTAGCATCAGATATTTTTCTACTATATCTGGAACCTGAGTATATTGTTTAAGTTTATTAAATTTATTACATTTAAGCTTAATGTTACACAAATATAGGCGAGAAGCAACGGGAATGCGGCAAATCGAGCTAAGTTGAAGATGCTTCATCATATTGGTAGCAAGCCTATTCGAGAGATTATTTATCAAAAGGTATTATCATAAAATCTTTATTTTCCTAAGAAAATATTTACGAGCTGTTATTTGACATGTTTGCCTTTGATGTAAAGGGCGGAAAAGATGGCAATCCACCAGATTTGGCAACAATTTTCTTCGACCCGTAAGAAAGATAACAAGCTTGTTGAACCTGAAGCAATTGAAAAACATGTATGTTTGGTAAATTAAATTTGTAAATTACTTGAAAGTATTATGGATTCTGATTTTAAATGTATCTTTATATATTTTGTAGGCTCAAATCGAAGAAATAATTCAATCAGATCCATCTCTACCTAGCATAGAGATTGTAGAAAAATGTTGTGGACCTCAAACTCGTAGCCACGTGTTTGGCTTTGGGGGTGGAGTAAAGGCGAAAGACTTGAAAGGTGAAACTTCTTCAAAGGCTGAATTACTGTCCGCGCTACGTTCAACTCGAGAAGAAAATAAATCTTTGAATGAGGAAAACAAATCCTTGCAGGAGCGCTTGTCTACCTTAGAAGATGACATGAAAGAAATGAAGAAAATGAAAGAGTTCTTCGCTGCTCAACAATCACATGTCCCGCTTACGACATCGCCTGTTTCAACTGAATGAATACTGTTTTGTCTGCTGACCAAGTTAGTAAAAATATACCCAACTTTTTAATTTATATAGTTGATTTGCGTATAGTCAATTTCTATATTACAGATTCTAACAGTTTACTTTTTAAAAAATTTTTGCAATTCATCAGTAGTACCTGAGAAGGGCAAGAAGAAATAGCCTACAGAATAGTGATTGAAGCTAGATATGGATTGAATGTACAATGGTGCAGTAAGTAGTTTGACAATCTATAAGCTTATAAGCTGCAGTAAACCATTGCTAGAGACAAAGGATAAATAATAGTCAAAAGCAATATATGGAGAGTTATCCCTTGCTGTAAATTTAGACAATTTGGATGGAAAGGAACCATAAATATTTTGATAAGCCTCATCTTTGTCTTCTGTAGTACTTAGATGCTCGTGGATCATTTTTTTGTGGTGTAGTAGAAATGTTGTAAATAATTTTGGTAATATGGTGAAAGTTATTGGCCCCTTAGGCTTATCTTACCTTTTTCATATAAAAAAAAGTTATAGACCCCTTACATATTTTGAACAACTAACTTAGCAAGACTCTGTGCATACTGTTTGCTTCACCTCCTAGACACAATTACATCAATTAGTTGTTGCACTAACATCAGTGATACATGCTTAGCTAATCAGTTTACCAAACACATACACCTACTCCACAATTCAACTGAAGGCATTTTTGACATAAAAGGCATAAGTGAAGAATGATTTTTTTTTTCATGAAACTTCACTGCATTAGCAAGCTGGTCTGCTAAAGTGAACGTTTTGTGAGACAGATTAAAGATATTGAATTTGGACAAAACTGACATCATGGATTTTACTATTCATCTCTTTCCATGGAAACAGAACTTGCAAAGTGTTTAGTCCACCTGTGTTCTTGTTAAGAGATATCTGGTGTTTCTATCTGTAATTTTTTTGTGAAGTCATTACTAGAAACATTAATGTGCCAATAAGAAATAGGTCCTTGAAAAGAGTATAGTTATTGTCTCAAAATCCAGGCAGATCAAAGGTCATTTAAAAGAACAATTATAGGTTGATTCTGGACCATCTTACATTGAACATGTAACAAATTGACTAGTACCTCAAGGGCCTGACATGATCATATATACAGAGACGGCAAACAGTGTTGTCCACGCACTTGTTTCCCGTCAGGTAAAGGAGCTGTTTAATACCTTACAAGTGATTTTTCGTCAATATCAAAATTTGTCACTTGTTTCTTTCTGCGGTTTATTTGACTTGAACGAGTCAGGAAGTGGTAATATTCAAAACATGTGAGAATTCTAAGTTAGAGAGCTTAATCTGAATTCTATGAGAAACTTGCCTCATCTTATTTTGAATTATATTGGTAGAACATGATTTTGAATGTCCTCTTTATTTGTTGTATATCATGTTTGTTCCGTACGCAAGTGGTAATGACCGTGCTCACTAGAAGTAGATGATATGGTTCTCTTATGATTAAAGATACCAAGTTCGTGATGTCGTTGTCTGTTCATAATAGTTGTTCTCTTAAATGGTAAATCTCGAATTGTTGTACCGGAATTTATCAAACCAAAGTTTGATTTACCATCCCAAAGCTTTTCTAATTAATTTGTATATTTTCCTATAGCCTTGTTGATGTTGCTCTATAACACCTAGTGAATTTAGACTGCTTTTGGGGTAAGCGGTTAACTATTGCTAGTTTAAATTTACATATGTCATTTTACCAATAGTTATTTATCATCTTTTCAAACTTTTGTACTTACAGGTTTTGAAGACTGAAGTTACAAGTCAAGATGCAAGTTTAGAAGATGCACAAGCTCATTTATTATTTTGGTAGGACTGTTATTCAAAACTTGATATCATAATGTAGCTGAAGATATTAGCTAAGTTTTTTTGTTAAGGTGTCGAGCAAATATAGAAACTAACATCATCATGGGATGTGAACTTGATATATTATCTTTTTATTTCTAGATTTTTCAATAATAATTTGATATTTATTGATAAAAATAACTCTTTGTAGCATTGAGCTTTAGGACTACTCATGGTTAATAAGAGACCAGGAATACAATCGCTAAATTACAATATAATCTAGGACCAATTAAAGGTTGGTCGCGAAAATGGATTAACGATTGGAATATATATATTTTTCAACGTCTATTAGGGACGAGATATGTAGTTTAAAAGTATTTCACGACTAGATTTTCTGCCCATCTCTAAAAGATAATCTAGGGCCAGTTAAAGGCTGGTCGCTAACAAGGTTTAACGACGGGAATATATGAATTTTTCATCGTATATTAGAGATGATATATGCAGTCTCTAAAACTATTTCACGACCAGAATTATTGTCCGTCTCTAAATTATTTTAACGACCAGTTTTTTTGACCAGTCGTTATTGGCTTTTAGCGGCGGAGGCTATTACGATGGGTTGCGACCAACTTTCTCCCGTCGTAATTCCTCCTTTGGGGACCAGATTTGGCCTTTTAGGGACCAGATTTCCCTTCCCTGAAGGCCATTTTTCTTGTAGTGTGACCTGATTCCCGTTTAAGAGGGGATACGTAGGCAGCCTTGTGAGTTCGGTCACATCTTAATAAAATCTTTATTTTTCCATGATCAGAAACCGGGGAAAGATGGCAAGTTCAGCCAACTTCGTCATATGTGGAACAACCAAAAAACAGTGTCAGAAGTATGCATTTAAACTGGGGCAAAATTTTGAGGAGGACCCTCAAAATTCTAAAGCAAGTAGGTTACAATGTCTCTAAATGCGTCACAGTCACCAGTTCATCTAAATTATTTGATATCACATACTATAATACATTTCAAACAACTATATTTTTGCAAATAATTTGTCAAATGCACACATATTTTTCGAAANCATAACGATAAGTTACCAAATGCAAACACATCCAGCTAAGCACTGCCTTTCCTTTGCATCACTACCTTCACTCTCTCACTGTCACTCATAAGGCTAAGTACTACTTTTCTTTTGCATGAGACTAAGCCTTATCTCCCTTCCTTCGCATGAGACTAAGCATTGTCTTCACTTCTTGCATGAGGCTAAGCACTGTCTCTGTAATTGCATAAAGCTAAGCAATGCCTTTCCCTGCATGAAACTAAGTATTGTCTCTCCTTTTTGCATGAGGCTAAACATTGCCTCTGTAATTTCATAAGGCCAATCATTGTCTTTCCCTGCAGGAGACTAAGCATTGTCTCCCTTTCTTGCATGAGTCTAAGCATTGCCTCTATAATTGCATAAGGCTAAGCACTGCCTTTACTTTGCATGAGACTAAGCCTTGTCTCCCTTCCTTCGCATGAGACTAAGCATTGTCTCCACTTCTTGCGTGAGGCTAAGAATTGCATCTGTAATTGCATAAGGCAAAGCACTGCCTTTCCTTGCATGAGACTAAGCACTGTCTCCCTTCTTTGCATAAGGCTAAGTACTGTCTCTCTTCCTTGCATAAGGCTAAGCACTGCCTTTCCTTGCATAAGACTAAGCATTGCCTTTCCCTGCACGAGACTAAGCGTTGTCTCTGTTTCCTGTATAAGGCTAAGCATTGCCTTTCTTTGTATAGGACTAAATATTGTCTCCACTACACTGCATAAGGCTAAGCACTGCTTTTCCTTGCGTGAGACTAAGCACTGTCTCGATCCTCTGCATAAGGCTAAGCACTGCCTTTTCATGCATGAGACTAATCATTGTCTCCCTTTTTTCGCATCGGGCTAAACACTGCCCTCATCTCATACAAGACTAAGCCTTGTCTTGTCCCGTCCTCGCATATAACCAAGCATCACCTGTTTCTTTTATCAAACGATCGATATCGCTATATCTCTACATCTCATAGGCTGAAACATCGCCATTTTTCCGAAGGCACCATCCTCATAGCCGGGAGACACCATTCCATAGCCTAAAGATCTCTCGATACCGCATATCATTATTCAAAGGCGTCATAGTCCAGAGGCACCATCCCCATAGCCCGAGGACACCATTTCATGCCTGCGAATCCCTTATCATACACTTCATGGCCCAGGACGTCATGGTCTAAGGACAGTATCCTCACCGTCCAAAGACAACCTTCATGGTCCAAAACGAATTTGCATCATGTTTAAATTGTTGCAATAACCCATATATATTCACATGCACCGTATTTTAAGTTTTGCAGGTAATTCAGGAGGTAACCGTTCTACAAACAGGGGCAATCTTCGCTCCGGTTTCCGTTCACAGCATTCACTTCCTTCGATCGCTTCAAATGTAACTGACTACCAGTAATTGCCTACCTTTTACTCTATGACCGTTCAGATATCTGCCTTGTGATAAATCCATAACATTTAAAATTCACATTCATGACTCTACCTAAAATCATTTGTTATTTGCGATAATATCCTACCCAAAGAAATCCATTCAAAACATACGACCACTCTTACAACAACTCCATCGGTTTCGTTCGCCGTTGGATCCAGAACTACACATGGCCTGATTCCCGTAACACCAGATATATGTAGGCAACTCAAGAATCAGGGTTCGGCCTCCTTTTTTAAAATCACATCATTCCCCATTCAACTCGGCCAAAATTGGTCATCATTTTCTTTTCCTGACAACTCTTTCATCGTTCCCAGGTAAAGAGGGGCAGCTGTTGATATCCAATTTTGCCCTCACAATTTTCCAAATAGTATATATATTTTTAAGATGTCATTTTGCATTATCATTTAATTTATACGAATTATACATGTATTTTCCATAATTTTCAACAATTGTTTTGGAGCTTTAAAATCAATTTCCGTGTATTTAAATTGCTTAAATATTTATTAATTATCCCTTTAGATTATGCATGATGACTTAATCATCCGAATCTGTTATTTATACCCACATACACGCTTTAAAATATTTTTTACATAATTGCATTCATATTTTAAACCTATTTACATAATTTTGCATCATTAACCCATATTCTACACATAATTGGATTCATTATATTATTTATACTAAAATATCCTTTCTTATATTTTTATAATATTAAACTATTATTTTAAGTATTTTACTGCATAAATAATATTTTTTATCAATTATTAATTATTTTTATAATTTATTTTTTTGATAAATTTCATGTATTTAAATTATAGCCCATTTTTAAGACAATTTCGGACCAAACTTTTGGACTAAATCCTTAGCCCAAGAGCCCCCAGCCCAAGTTAAACAACCCTTTACTAAACCCGATCATTATCCATCTTTATGACCCGTCCCGTTCAATTTTTAATCCTAACGGTTGATCTGTCAAGATCAACGGCCCTCGTTCATTCCCCTTTTTTTAATTAACCCAACCCCCAAACCCTAATCCGTATTTTCCACCTACAACCGCCTCTATTCTCTTATCTCTCCACCTACCTCTGATAAACCCTAGCCGCCATGTCCCCAATCTTCTCCGATTCCAACTCAAACATGGAATCAATCCATGATTTACTTGCCTGTTTTGTGATATTCTGCTATTATACGCGTGTCCATGGTGTTACTTAGTTCTTGGCCTATTTTTGGCAAGAACTACTTCTCAAAACGGGACCGATTTATCTTGATTTGGTGAAGATCTGGACAACCTTTTGCCTATATACACGCTACTGCTATCTGTTTTCATGTATTGTGCACTAGTAGAAATCATGCCTATAGGAAATCACACACTCACTTAACCTGTTTTACTATCAAACGCATGGGTTTAAGTACTTTGCTTGTTCCGGTGTTTACTGTCATGCGTTATTAGACAACATGCCTATAGGAATCAGGTGTCCACTCCTACAATTTGTGCAACTGCAGTGTATTTACTAGATAACATGACTGTAGGATTATATTAACTTATGATCCTCATCTAGATATCATGTCTATATGACCTTAATTGATTAATTAGCTACTGTTATTGTTGTTTCCATCATATTGCTCGCCTAGAAAATATGCCTATGAAGTGTTATAGAATCAGTTTCAATTACCAACTCTTAGAAATCCTGCCTATGGGATACTGTTACTCGTCTAGTAAGTATGCCAATAAAATCAAACGTGGAAAATTTTAAGCTTTCAAATGGTTTTATTGCCTCATTGCGCAAATAATTTAGAGATCATGCCTATAGGATTTATAATACCTATAATCTGCAAATTCATTATTCCTAAACAACAGCACTGCTTGTACGCTTGAAAATCAGAATTATAGAAACCATGCTTACAGGACTTAACGGATCTAATGCATCTTAACTCTAAAACTGTATGCTGCCTAATCTACTTGCGTGCATTCGTTGTTTATGTGTGAAAGCTAACTTGGGCCTTTAACTGTCTTTACATGAAGTCCTATTTATTTTGAATGTCGCCTAGTTTCATCATTTTCTGAGCAACCTAAGTAAAGTCTAGAACCACCAAAATAGTAGGTCCAATGCCTCCTGGACCATAGGCATGGGACGGGTAGTGCACGCATAGGACGCAACCTAGAATTGAATTAGAACGCTCTAGTTAAACAATTTCAACATAGTAATCGGGTAGCAGGAGATGATAGTCTGTGCCCGCTGAATAATATGAGCAACTCCTATCTAAAAGAAGTTGCGAAGTATTATTTATGTTTCACGGGGTGATCCTTTGGGCTAAAAAACTTAGGACCCCCCTTTCATTTATACACTTAGTCATCTAATATAGACTGTTATAGTTGTATCCTTGTAGTCTTTAAGATTTGTACCAATTCTCATTGTGTTATAATGAAACTCTTTGACCTTTTATTCTCTTTGTTTATTTGATCACCTCGCCTAATTATAATCCACATAGTCTTAACTTCGGCCGGGACCCACAGTTGTGGAACTCGAAGAGTGCCTAACACCTTCTCTTTGAGGTAATTTGAGCCCCTACCCGATCTTTGGTGGCGTTGACTAGTCAAACAGAGTTATCTGCATAATAGGTGCCCTAATGCACCTT